CTGTCAACCAGCCCTGCAGGCAGGCTTCAGGCTGGGCAGGCTGCCTCACGGAGCATATACCCTGTGCTGGATGAAGTGTGCATAGCACATACAGGCCCTGGGGCTTGCTGTAAACATAGCCCCAGGGGCTGGCGTGGGGCATGTGCTGCCAGTGGTACAGGGGCTGAACCCAGTATGGCACCCTGGACTGATCTTCCTGTGCTGCCTGCAACATCAGGTCCAGCTTTTGCGCTGTTGGCAGCACATGCCTTGTGCCAGCCCCTGAGACTGGTGTACACTCTGCCGCGGGTCACTCCTGGTCCAGCCCACAGACTGGCTCACATGTGGGCCAGATGAGTTTGACTCATCATAATGGAACAATAGACTTGTATGTGGAGTGAATGAGGCCTACTACATTTGAGACTACCAGAATATTTAGTAGCATATACGTAATATTATGTAACAGCCTAATTCTTAGAGTACTAGCCTGGCAAAGGGGAGATTTAAGTTGTAGGCTTTCCTCAGGACAGAAACCTGTCTCTGTGTCCTAGTGGTTAGAGGTGATAGTGGGCTCTGAGTTCTGGTGTCTGCTCTGATTTATGAGGTTTTTTTGGTTTGCAGGTGTTTTAAACCTAAAAACTCTAATGAAAAACCACACACACAGTCCTGGGAACATGAACCAGAACCTGGGATTATTATAAAGAATATGCTGTGTTCTAATTAAACTAGCTTTACTGACAAATATGAAAAGCTATTTCAATTACTGTGCTCTGGTGAAATTAGAAGGAAAAATGGGCTATCATTCACCTGACCAGAGGTATTAAAAGAAACAGATCTGTACAGTTCCCGTTGTAGTGAAAAATGCAATAGTATATAAAAAATAAGCAACAAGACTAAGCTGTATCAATTTATAGCTCTTTCCAACTAGCTATAAGAAAGATATTTGTATTATCCAACAGGGGGCATAAACACAAGAAGAGAAGAGAAAACTGCACATAATTCTTGACCTTCTTTCATCACATGTAATCATTCCCACCCGTGCTAAATGTGTGCAAAATTTACAAATCAGAATTCTCAGTTCCCACCAGTGGTAGCAATTTGCACTTACTTTGGAGTAACTTACTGCAGGTGCACAAAATGCAGGACAATGGAAAATCAGAACCTTGATTTTGTTGGGGAAGATGCGGAGCTCTATACAGTTATATTTATGGAGCAGAAGGACATGGAATCCAAAAGTAGAGGCTAAAGAATATTGAAAACATACAACAAAATTTTCCAAGCCTGTTGAAATGTGAGGTGCAACCAACAATATGGCATAGGATTTCTATGGATGTCATGTTACTCTTGCTCCAAAAGCAACATTAACTTACTGAATTCTGTAGTCACTTTTTCCAGGGGAACATACATACTGTTTAGATTTGCATTAGCAACGACCACATTATTTTAGGTTCCATTTCCTGTTTGGAGCCTTCAGAACAGAGAATTTCCAACTCTTACTGTCTTCTAATAGCATCCTTGTCCTGTGGGAATTTATGAAAATAATGTAACTGATTTCTAAGGTTACAGGACTGGGTCTTAATCTGTAGCTCTGCTAAGTGTTTTAGAAAGGATCTTCAGATACATATTGATCAGCTGTCTTGGAAGATCCACTATAACTTTTGCTTAAGGAGAATTAAGAAACATCTTTTAGCACAGTTGATTTCCTGAAGGAGGGTAAAGGAAACAGAGGTATGTAAACAAGGAGTCAGGAAAAAGTAGAGAATGGGAGTGAATGGAAGAAGTGCAAGGATAAGTGAGAAATGAGATTTCTGGAGGTTGGAAAAAACAAAAGAGCAGGATAGAATCAAGGAAAAAAGTGAGGAAATAAAGAACAGGATAGAATACATTTATGTAGCAAGAAGAGGGCCTCAAAAATGACAAAACATTGGTCTGTCTCATAGTATGTGTGTATCCTAAATAAAGGATCACAGGGAGGGAGTTTGATATAGTACTTAGAGTACCATATGGGAATTCAAGAAATCTGGGTTGTATGTCTACTATACCTATAGATTTGGATGATCTTGGGCTCTGCTCCTCAGTTTCCTCATCTGAAATGAGGAAGTGATTTGAGAAGCTATTGAGAAAGAGTGGAATATTAAAGCTTTGTAGCAATGTGGGGAGAGTGGTAGATATGCTGGAGGGTAGGGCTAGGATTGAGAATCACCTAGACAACTTGGAGGATTGGGCCAAAATAAATCTCATGAGGTTCAGTAAGGCCAAGTGCGAAGACTTGTACTTAGGACAGAACAATCCCATGCACCCATAGGCTGGGGGCTGGATGGCTGGCTGGGCAGCAACTCTGCAGAAAATGTTCTAGGCGTTACAGTGGACAATAAGCTGAATATGAGCCAGCAATGTGCCCTTGTTTCCAAGAAGGCTAATGGCATCCTGGGCTGCATTGGTAGGTGTGTTGCCAGCAGTTCAAGAGAAATGATTATTCCCCTCTGTTCAGCACTGGTGAGGCCACATCTGGAGTACTGTATCCAATTTTGGGTCCCCTGCTACAGAAAGGATGTGGATAAATTGGAGAGAGTCCAGAGGAGGGCAACAAAAATGGTTCAGCGACTGGGGGACATGACTTCTGAGGAAAGACCAAGGGAACTGGGCTTATTTAGTCTAGAAGAGACTGAAAGGGAATTTAATAGCAGCCTTCAACTACCTGAAGTGGGGTTCAAAAGAGGATGGAGCTAGACTGTTCTCAGTGGTGGCAGATGACAGAACAAGGAGCAATGGTCTCAAGTTGCAGCAAGGGAAGTTTAAGTCAGATATTAGGAAGAATGTTCTTACTTGGAGGGTAGTGAAACACTGGAACAGGTTACCCAGAGAGGTGTTGGAATCTCCATCCTTGGAGATAAAGCTTTTGCTGGGATGATCTAGTTGGGGCTTGTCCTGCTTTGAGCAGGGAGGTTGGACTAGATGACCTCCTGAGGTTCCTTCCAACACCTAATTGTCTATGATCTATGATCCTATTATATCATTTTTCCCATAGTGGTGATGCCACGAGATGGATTCATCTGGTAAGTTTTACTTTATTCTGTTTGAAATGTATTTGAAAGGAAAAAAAGGTTGAGAACAGACTTTGGCTATGTGTGGAGGGTTAATTATTACATATTATAGAATTATTCCTGGTTGCAATGGTGGCATAATTGGTCCATGTTCTGTGCTTGTCACCAGTTTACTACCAGAAATTTATTTTTGTGCTTTGCACCCAGCTTTAGTAACCATGAAATATCTTTTTTACAACATTGAAAGTTATATGACCTTTTACTTGTTTCATTCAGTTGAATTTTCACCAAGCATCGTTTCTCTTTTGAGAGAACTTATTCTCAGACCTCTCCCCCACTTACAACATGAACTTGACTTACAGATGTAAAAAAACCACAAACAAACCAGCATTTTACATTTAGCTTGGATGTCCAGAAGAGGCACCGTGTCATTTTGACCCGGCTTGCCCAAGGTCTTGTATAGTTTGTGCGCTTCAGTGGGACTTTTTGGTCCTTTTATCTAATGGCTGATTGAATCGGCTTTTAGATAAAAGTGCCAAAAAGCCCTGCTGAAGTGCCCAATTTATACAGACGTTGGGTTAGCAGGGTCAAACTGACACAGTGCCTCTTCTGGTAAAGCACTGGTGTTTTTTGTGAGGGGTTTGGGGGTTTCTTTTCTTTTTTCACATCTGTCATCAGCCTTAGTGTCTTGGTTTTCGACCCACCTTTGCATTAGTTTTGTGGTGTTCTGAATAACTCTCATAGTCCATGGTGCTTGATTCATCTCCACCATCCAGAGTGTTCTTAAGTCATGAAGTGAGTTGTAATCCAGAGGTCTCACTCAAGGAGTGTAAACATGGTTAATGTACTTGAAACTGGAGTGTAGAAAGTGAAGATCAGGGCCAATATGTATAAACAAGTTGGTTCTAATGTAATCTTCTTTTCGAAACAATTCTCAAGGGTGATGTGCTGCCTACAGAAGCACTAGTTCTGGAGCTGGATGGATGCTGTCTCTGATCACACGTACTCAACAATACCAGGAAAGCTGCATTCTCACTCCTTCCCCACACACTTAACGGCTCCTTCCCCATATGCTTGAACGATGGTATCAGAAAAACAGCACAATTACACAGCCCCCTGATGTGACTGCACGCTGCTTTCTCACACAATCTGAAAGCCCGACAAGCCAGTGAATGGGGGAAAAATGATGAGGTACAAAAAGAGGGAGAGAGAGGAAAAACAGTGCAAATACTAAAGGGAAAACTCAAGGGAA